TGAATTGTCAATCATTCTCCATGTGAATTGTCAATCATTTTCCATGTGAATTATCAATCATTCTCCATGTGAATTGTCAATCATTCCCCATGTGATTTGTCAATCATTCATGTGTAAACTGTTAAGGCAGATCAATCACAAACCAGTGCATTATTGCAACACATCAATCAAAACTACTCAACAATGTGGTATATGCTACAAGGTGACTCATTATCTACATACTGGTATACTTATACTCATGGAAAGAATAAAGGGAACAGCAATAAAAGGAAGCATGTGTTTGACATGGCATAAATCGGTACCCGGGAACAGACAATTATTTGGCAATAAATGCTATGATCAACATATAGACTAGCATAGACAGAAAAAAATACGCTCAGTGTTCCTTTATTTTTATCCATGAGTATATGCTCATCATATTGCTAACCAGATTGTCATCAACATATATTCTATATCCCTTCACACACATCATTACATACACAACACGATGTATAGACATATATGTATGTTCTAAACTACTAAACATCAAACCTGCCAACCAATGACATAAAGGCACTGCACAGTCATAGAAATAAAATGTGGATCGTCTCTGTGGTGTTCTCTATCACCCCTCTATCACTGGACACTGTTTGAGGTAACTGCAGTTTTATATCCCCACACCAATCAATATCTGTTTTTATGTATGGGAGCTATATGGATCGTCCTGTTAAGAGAACAAACATCAGTATGGGTTACAGAAAACATGATGGCATTACCCATTATAAACATCTTCCTGAGGCTAGGGAGTTAACTGAGTGAAAAAGTCCAGTTTCCACCCCTGCCGAACTAGGCGTCAATTATCGAGTTATATTTTGGCTGGACTGACGAGTCTATGCATAGTCAAATGCGTTATGAAATCGACATCCGATTCGTAATTATAGAATTCAACATGCAGATTTCGGTCGACTGCAGGATTTGCAAAGGGACTGGGCGTCAACAGATTTTTTCCAAATCTTATCTTTCCATGTTTCTAATCACGGTGCTCATGTGATTTGATGCACTTCACATGGGAAGAGCCGTTTTATTACAGTATAAATTTTGTTCAGCGATTAGATCGTCTTGACTGGGTGCAACCATTTTGTTTGTAGGAAATGCAAGTGATATGAGAGGTTGAATCTGATTGGTCAATAAGAGGGACATAGAAGGGACATAACTTGTAGTATCCACTGGTGGAGCCATGATCAAGCCTAGTTCCGCAAGGGTGGAAACTGCACTTTTACAGTTAGTTAACGCCCTTGCCTCGGGAAGATGCCCATTAAACAGCTATCAGTTGCCATTTTCAATCTGGAAACAATATTCAAAGTACTTTTTTGACAAAAAAGTCCTCCTTTTTTGGAGAGAAGCTAAGGAAGAGATTGGTATACAGATCTTAAAAATATTCGGTGATTTGTAGCCAATCCGAGATGTAGAAGTGTGCTGCAAAGACCACAGCAGACATTGACATTCTAAATGACCCAATCCCTAGCCTCTCAGGAGCGACAAGCAGAGACACACATACTAAAGGATACCAGATGCAGGTGTATGCTAACCACAGCCATGTTTAAGGCACCTACAGACACTCGGCTATGTCAACATCTATCCTGGATGGAGTCATTTTCATAACTCCATTGGCACTATACATGCACTAGGAACAGAGATCGAGGTGGCTTGAACCATAAACACTGGGGGTTCTTGTTCATGTTTGTAGTTGACGGCTCTGACTGGTCCAATAGCTTTTATCAAAAGTATATCGCAGCTATTGTTCCTTGGATTCTGACATCTTTTCTCTTTGAGATGTCACTTTGACATCTTACATCGCCAGAGCCAAATGGGGGATTTCAAATTCTTTCAGGAAGTTGTTTCATTTACAAACTAAAACTGGAATTTGATTTCATTGGATTTTTTATGCTATTGACTATCACGCCCTCTACATGAACAGGGGAGATAATCACCACATCCAAGTATTTGACTAAATAAGCTAGAAAACATTCCTGTACAAGGCAATACCAATTGAAGTACTTGTTTTACGGATCCACCTGTCACTGTCAAGTCATTCCCATCACCCCACAAAGTTGTGTTTCCTGTTGCGCTCCCCCACCTAATCTGGTGCCCTAGGCTGTAGAGATTTCTTGCTGCCCACTATTGTCAGGATTTCATGCCCAAAGCATAAATTTGTCGTGCTTCTCTGTAGATTAACCGGTCATTATGTTCAATATGCGACAAGTGTGGTGTGAACTGGAAGTATAGCTATTGTGTTAACTGCAAATATAGCCATTGTGTTAACTGCAAATATAGCCATTGTGTTAACTGCAAATATAGCCATTGTGTTAACTTGAAGTATAGCTGTTGTGTAAACTGTAAGTATAGCTGTTGTGTCAACTGCAAGTATAGCTCTTGTGTGAACTGGAAGTATAGCCATTGTGTTAACTGGAAGTATAGCCATTGTGTTAACTGGAAGTATAGCTGTTGTGTGAATTGAAAGTCTAGCTGTCATGTGAATTGAAAGTATAGCTGCTGTGTGAACTGGAAGTATAGCTGTTGTGTGAACTTAAAGTATAGCTATTGTGCGTACGGGAAGTATAGCTACTGTGCCAACAGGAAGTATAGCTCTTGTGCCAGCGGGAAGTATAGCTATTGTGTTAACTGGAAATATAGCTGTTGTGTGAACTGGAAGTATAGCCATTGTGTTAACTGGAAGTATAGCTGTTGTGTGAATTGAAAGTCTAGCTGTCATGTGAATTGAAAGTATAGCTGCTGTGTGAACTGGAAGTATAGCTGTTGTGTGAACTTAAAGTATAGCTATTGTGCGTACGGGAAGTATAGCTACTGTGCCAACAGGAAGTATAGCTCTTGTGCCAGCGGGAAGTATAGCTATTGTGTTAACTGGAAATATAGCTGTTGTGTGAACTGGAAGTATAGCTGTTGTGGGAACTGTAAGTGTAGCTGTTGTGCCAACGGGAAGTATAGCTATTGTGTGAACTGGAAGTATAGCTGTTGTGTGACCTGGAATTTAAGTTATTGTGTGAACTGTAAGTGTAGCTGTTGTGTGAACTTAAAGTATAGCTATTGTGCCAACGGGAAGTATAGCTATTGTGCCAACGGGAAGCATAGCCATTGTGTGAACTGGAAGTATAGCTGTTGTGTGAACTGCAAGAATAGCTGTTATGTCAACTAGAAGTGTCCACAAATATTGCAAATAATGATTTTCAAAGTTAAAAAAAAAAAGTACCGGTAAAGAAAACCCCCCAATAACCACCTACCTACCCTGTTTTTGGAAGTGACAGAAATAGGTAACAACTTTTCTGGCCAAGTATCCTTTCATCTCAAAATTTACAGTTGATGATGAAATTTTGAACAGGGTTCATTAGTTTGTTCTCTCCCTTGCAAAAGTGGAGTACATGTATTATACACAAGAAATATGCGATTTGGGAAAATGCAGTGATACTTTTCCAGTAAATAATGTTTTGTTTTAAAAGTAAATATTCCTCCTGCCTGCATACGAAAATGCAAAACAAGTAATTTAATTGGTATGGCCTGCCATTGCCTTCCCTAACATTGCTGAGCAAGTCCTGTTAACTTTTGTGATGGCTCCACTTAAATTCAACACCTGATATAATGGGTCTAATTGGTCCCCAGAACATCAACTATCTGAGATGTAAATGTGTCTTTTCACTCTCCAGCTTAAAAGAGTGAGTGAGTTGGGTTTAACATCGCTTTTACCACTATACCAGTTACATCACCATGTACCAGCTTAAGAGAACACGGTGTGAACGTCTATCACTGAGTATTTAATGTTTCATGATTCAAGCTGGCTTTTTACTTCACGTGCAGAATACTGAAGATGCTATGGATATAGTACCTACATCTGTCAGATGCACAAAATGTTTCCCTATAACCATCTTCCTTAGGCAAGGGAGTTAACTGACTGTAAAAGTCCAGTTTCCACCTTCCCGAACTAGGCGTCAATTATGGAGTTACAGTTTGGCTGGACAAACGAGCCTCTGCATAGTCCAATCAATATCGTGCAACGAAATCGACATCCGGCCCGTAAACAAAATGGATATTAACATTTCAGTTTTCAGTCGACTGCAGGATTTGCAAAGGATGTGCACCATCAACTGGGCGTTGACAGATATTTTACAAATCTTTTCATGTTTTTAATCAAGGTGCTCACGTGATTTGATGCATTTCGCGAGGTAAGACCCGTTCTATTACCATATAGATCTTGATCATCGATCATATTGTCTTGACTGGGCGCCCCCGTTTTGTTCGAAGCAAATGCAAGTGATATGGTAGGTGGAAACTGATGGTCAGTAGGAGGGACAAAGAGGGGACATAACTCGTAATAGCCACTGGTGGCGCTACGATCAAGCCTGGAAATTCCAGCCTAGTTTGGCAAGGGTGGAAACTGGACTTTTATAGTCAGTTAACGCCCTTGCCTCAGGAAGATGCCCTATAACACACTTCACACCAGGGTTCATCAGGGGCTGATGCAGAGGAAGGTGCAGGTGTCTGAATCTCACACTAACACTCGAAAAGACAAAGAAGTTCAGTTCTCTACATGTGTTTCTAGATAGTTAGGAATGCAGCTCTCAGATGTTAACATATATGAAACATGAATCTAAAACATTTCACATCATGAAAAAAATCCTATGTGACATGTGGAAGCACGACAATGAATCAAAGGCCATAATTTGGGGTTGGTTTTAGGATACGCCGATGTTAAAAACTGAAAATTCAGAAGAAGAAAATAACTCAGAATGAAAAGGGTTTTGATACCGCCGACAATAAAGATCACTTTGGCAAGGGATTTTTATGACTACAACAGTATTTGTTTCAATGATAAGTTGTCATTTTCTATACAATTTTTTGGTCACCTTACCGAATCAAATCAAACTTTAACATGATTATGAACAATGCCTTTTTTTTTTAAAAATAACTACAGATAAAAAATAGGTACACCTGCACCCCCCCACCCTCCCTCAAAATGGTCTGGTCAAAATACAAATATGAGCATTAACATTATGTTTGGATATTTTTCCCTTTCAAGGACACATTTATAAGTAATACTTGACATCTGTTTCAAGAAAGAAGGCTGAGTTTCTGTTTCATCTATTCAGAACAGAACTACTTAATGCATACACAACTACTTATGCATACACATCTATTTATGCATACACAACTACTTAGCATACATACACAACTACTTATCATATATACACATCTATTTATGCATACACAACTACTTAGCATACATACACAACTACTTATCATACATACACAACTACTTATCAAACATACACAACTACATATCATGCATACACAACTACTTGCATACACATCTATTTATGCATACACAACCTCTTATCATACATACACAACTACATATCATGCATACACATCTATTTATGCATGCACAACCAGTTATCATGCATACACATCTATTTATACATACACAACTACTTATCATATATACACATCTATTTATACATACACAACCTCTTATCATACATACACAACTACTTATCATACATACACATCTATTTAGGCATACACAACTACTTATCATACATACACATCTATTTAGGCATACACAACTACTTATCATACATACACAACTCCTTTTCATGCATGCACAACTACTTATAGTGCATACAGGACACTATGAAACACACTAAGTGGACATTTTCTCATCTACTAGAATTAAGACGAATAATTTAACAAACATCTTAAAAAGAATTACATATACAAATATAACCATATTTTCATCTAATGTTGAACATTCTAACAACCTTCCATTCTCCAAACTGGGACTTATCTGGGTTCCAAAGTGCCTTGGTAGGTAAATTGGGAAAACATTGTTATCATGTTTTTTTAAAGCTCTTTTTTCAATTAATTCAGGTATGCATTGCATTCAATGTAATAATGTGAAACTAATCATTAAAGCATCTACCTTATGGAGCCTGTATTCAGAAAAATAAAAGTCACCTCCACAACGCCATATTTAAACATTAGTTATGACTATAAAATGAAACCCCTGGAATAGTTTTTATTCCACTTCGGGAATTTGGGGACAAATATCGGTTTCTGAGCAGGGTGTCGTTGTACCATGCGATCTTAGCGCTAAGGTGATCGTAACTCCCATACCTTAACATAGGCTTAAAGTCGTTAGCACTAAGGTTGTTCTGTACAACGAGCCCCAGGTCTAGAAAAATCCCTGTAATATGCCCCTGACATAATGGCCCTCACAGCAACACCAATCACACCCACTGGAAAAGAATCTGGAATCGTGTACAACTAAACAACACTGTCATTCCTTGGACATATGCATTGATTTCACAGGATGTATTCAAACTAATAATGCAACTCCGGTAACCTTTTTATACATATGTGCAATCTTTGACAACCAAACCATATATATATATTATATAAACAGCCATGGTAACAGATAACAATAAATATATCTCAGTATTTCTTTGCATTCAGCTAATCTCAGCTTTCGTTGTTCATATCAACATACACATCGTCAGTATTTGGCGCATGTTTCTCTTCCTTCAAATCAACGACTGTTTTCCTCAGTTCCACTCGTGCTTTGCGCACCACAAAAAATATTACACCAGCTGTAAACAGGAGCTGAAAAGAAGAAAACATTCTTATAATTTATTTTTTTTAAATCAGATAAAAATACATGCATTTCTGATAAAATATTTTCAACCCACATTTTTTGCCCATTAACCTCAGACATAGATAGATTACTGTTCACAGAAACTGTCAGAATATATCTGAAATGAGGGTAAATATACACTTTGGAGTCAATTCACAACAACTTTTATAATCACGCCTAGTGATAAGAGGCATTTACAAATCATAAATATACGATACGAGAGTGTCATGGTAATAAAATAAATCACCTAGATAAACTTATCATGCTAGTAAAAAATCCCTGAAACATCTGAAACGTTTGAAACATGTATTACTACACACTAAACAAGATGAGGACAACAGCCTAGACCATATAAAAAACCCATAAAGATTGTAAACTGAGCCATAACTTGTCTCAAGAGCTAGAAAAATGCCTCTAGTAAGCTATCTAATTATTTATACCACGGACGTACATACATATATACGTCTTTGTTTATACTTAAAATTTGATGTAAGTATTGACAATTGGTTTAAACATATTTATTTTAACAAAAGTGTGAAAATGGATTGGCAAACAAGTATTGACTATTGTGTTGACAATCATACAAGATAATTATTCGCACCTGAGCTGCAAATATAAAATATCCCGTTGTTTTGTTGGAGCCGTCTCCCAGAACGTCCTCCATTGACCTCAGTGTTGATCCCAGGTAGCAGTTGAGCACCGCCATTGGCAGCAGACCCACGACCGACGCCAGGCAGTACTTCCATAACGGCACATCGGCCAGCTGAAATCATGGGATAGCTTGTTAAGGGAGTGCTTGGAAAATTGGACATGAAAGTCTATTACCTTGCGTTTGAGGGCAGAAAGGAGACTAACATCTAGTCTCTGAAATGAACATATCGTACTGAAAAAAAAAGTTGTTCAATTATCTTAATAAAAATATAATAAAAAGGAGCCCAGTGACTCTCATCATTTCCTGATACTGCAGTGATCTAGACTTGCCAAACATTATAGACTTGCATGGGCTGTATTTGATATATATTTGTATCAGGATCTGTAAGACAGACTAGGCAGAAAGGTAATAGGTCTGTAAGTCTTTGATAGGCATTTAGAAGATGAAATGAATACATGACACTTTTTATGGATATCAACTTATATTCTTTTTAACGTTTCAGAGTTTCTTCGTGCTCCTTCTTCAGATGAATATTGAGAAAGCGTATAGAGTTAATACTATAAATCTTGAAATTAACCTTAGCGTGTATTAAATGCGAAAGGCCTTTGCATGCATTATTAAACATCGCATTTATATAAAAATAAGACATTTTGGATAGCAGGAATACCAACTTAGACATATGCTGAAAACAAACAACTATGTATTCAACACCACTGTTTATTGAGCAGCACTTGTAACAAGTATATACTGTCAACAATATCATTCAAACACTAATTACATCCTGTGTATTGTCACTGTTGAGGTCATGACAAGAGTTCTCATCACTGATCGCACCTGCAAGTCCAGACAGACGCCACCCACGCAACACAGTGTTTTGTTCTTTGCAACTGCGTCAAAGGCCGACACGAGCCAGCGCACATGTATTGTTTTAGCGGAAGTACTCTACTCAGCGCTAATAAGCTGTGCTATTTGGTGTGTGATTGGATTAATGTAAGATTGGAATCAGGTGAGGATTCTCCTGTAAACCTGACAGAGGACATTTTCTTTAGATATAAATCCACTGATGCTTGAGAGGAGGGGGGATGTCGCATTCATATTGAGTTGCATTTTTGGCTAGGGGCCAGTGGTCAAATTCTTTTGGAGACGCATTTATTTCAGGATTTACAGTATATAGACATTGGGCAAGTTAATGTAGAAAGATAACCTTATAATGACAAAGTAAAATAATGTCTGGAACTGGTCCATCCGGCACAACAAACCTTTCAGGGTTTTTACAGTTTAAACAAATAAACAACAGCGCTATTCATCATGTGTTTACCTTGAAAATAACGGTAAGTTGTAAATAAAATGAGATCAAATACAATAAAGATATTTCCTGTTTAAAACCTTTGTCAGTGTTTGTGTTTCTTGACAAACAACTTCCGTTGTGCTGTTTTTCCACGACATTTATTCAGTGGTCTATGATTTGTTTTCTTTTTCTTTCTGAAAATATCTTTCAGCATGTTGAGGCTGACAACCTTTTCACAATTCAGTGTTAGGTGTGTGTGGGGATATGTCGCAAAGCTTAACTATGTGTGACGACCCGTGAAGATCCGGGTAGAATAGGTCTTCAGCAACCCATGCTTGCCGTAAAAGGCGACTATGCTTGTCATAAGAGGCGACTAATGGGATCGGGTGGTCAGACTCGCTGACTTGGTTGATGCATGTCATCGATCCCAATAGCTTGGATCGATGCTCATGATATTAATGACTGGATTGTCTGGTCCAGACTCGATTATTTACAGACTGCCGTCATATAGCTGGAATATTGCTAAAAGCGGCGTAAAACCATACTCACTCACTCACACTGTACAAATCCTAGTACCTTTATCAAGAAGTGATGTCAATTGTTTGATAATCTGTACTGAAACATCGGATTGCAAGAATAAACATGATAAAAGCAGTTGAAATCCATGTCAAATCGGCCTTCCTTGTCACTACAGCTTCTAAAGTGCCACTTGAAGATACAACTTCTGTAGCTCTTTTCAGCCAGGATAAAAATATTTAGGTAACAAGGGAAAGGATGGGTCTACTAAAAAGGGTTACCAGAAACACAAGTATTTTGGGGGTGTTCACAGTGTTGTGTGTGTGGGGTGTGTGTACTTATATAAAGATGGAAAATCTTTGTAAGGTGAGTGAGTGAGTATGGTTTTACGCCGCTTTTAGCAATATTCCAGCAATATCACGGCGGGGGACACCAGAAATGGTCTTCACACATTGTACCCATGTTGGGAATCGAATCCGGGTCTTCGGCGTGACGCGCTTTAACGACCAGGCTACCTGACCGCCCCTCTTTGAAAGGTAGTAATAACACACAAGCAGAGTAACTTAAGTGGTAAGAATATTTTAAAATGTTGCCAATTCAGGGACTTATCTAGACCTGTTTGAATGCCGATATTCATCCCCAATGAATACACATTGAATTAGGTGCCTCACTCGGTGAGTGTAGGGTCGAATCCCGGATGGGACTCAACCCAAAAAGGTCCTAAACTCTGTACTTTACTAAGAAATTGTTATCCCAAACATAATATTTGTTAAATTTATCCTGAAAGTCAGCAGCAAATGTCAGTAAAATTCCAAAATGGGAATTACCGTAAATTTCGACGTAATAAGCGCCACAGCGATATTTGCTAATATACTGGCTAGAGAACAATCCCAATTAGCACCCCTTCCGACTGATCAAGGTACACAAGACTTATTTATTCGTGTATAATACGCACTCGTGTGTTATATGCACCCTTAATTATGGGCAAATAAATTTTGAAAAATATATCTGTCGTGTATAATACACACAGTCTTTTCTTTTGTATCATTTTAGGCTGTCAGCATAAACCACAAAATTCTGATCTTTCACCAAAATTAGATTCCAATAAGAGCTTCCTATTTCTAATTTTGAGAGCGCCCTGGGCTCTTATTACCCCGCTTAGGTAAACATTTCCCAATTTATGCTGTTATATTTATCGCTAATGTTATGGATTTGTAGAGGCTTGCATATCACTGATAACCGGACCAATATAGAGGAAGAGTCTGTAATGCATAGTTTTAAATCATTGCATTGAATGCAATGTCAAAATACCTTGGAATTTAAACTTTGAACAAAATAAGACATTTCCCAATTTGCCTACTGAGGGCACCTAGTTTGGAATCCTAGATAAATCTCTACTATTCCAGAGTCAGGGTTTTGCAGAACAAGTATTTAAACCTATAAACAATATTGTGGTTACAATTATTGGAATTATGGTCGGTCTTGCAATCACAACGACATTACTTTTTTCAAATTTTCTTAACCATTAAGCTACTTGTCTGGTTTTATGTTTATAAAACATCAACCCTTATGAATTTATAGGTTTGATTTTAAATCTAACAGAAACAATTTTAATAGATTGAAAAAAAACCTATTTAGCAGCTGTGACAAGAACGTCTCCCAGCAATGATTCCATACGTAATGTTATTTGAGTGTTTACACACAAACATGATGTTAGGATTACCAACCAGACACTGATACTCTTGTCAGCCATTCAATGACATTCCTATCAACTAAATGAGAACGATATTTCTTACACCGTTTATGCATGAGGTTGATAAAATCTGTTATTAAAAACAGGCAACATGATTTATCAGGGCTGCAACGACTTCTTAGGCCATCAGCCCTAATTCTGCCCACTTGGTTATCGGAGCTGCACGGTTTTTATACCTCCATTAATCTGAGTAAACATGTCTGCACCAGGGCACATGATTGTGAGGTTAAAAACATGGATTCAAGATATATAGGAAAAGAAGAAATCTCCATGACTTTCAATTAGTGAGTGAGTGAGTTGGGTTTAAAGCCGCTTTTAACAGTATATCAGTTATATCACATCGTGTCAGCTGAATGTGGGAGGAAAGCCCGAAGTGATGCAGTCTCAGACGTTTACCACTTCGGTGAAACCCACTAGTATGGGTATGGTGCCGACAAACCTAGAAACATAATCGGGGCGAACCGGGATTCGAACCCACAATCATAGGTTTCTGGCGTGCCCAAGGGACGCAACTCTGCAAAGCGAATCGCAGCACCTTAGACGATTGGGCCACCCGTGCCCCCGACTTTCAATTAAGTAACAGTAATTAAGGCTCCGATATAATTTAGTGAAATGAGACGTGTCAATAATGACTTACATGTGACCAAAATACTTTCGAATTTTTTTTTTAATCCCTTGGCTTCCTTCCCAAAAGATCAGATGGTATTTGTTACACAACCTGTTGCTTAGCATTAAGGGATCAATGAAGAACCTGTGGGCTTGGAGTCAAATAGGTTATCAGTTGGGTATCCATGTTAAACCATGGCATGGTATCTTAAGTGGGCTAACACTATAAACCGGCATACGTGTTGCCTAGTACAAGCAGACAGACACACATACACAGACAATAATGCTTGCACGTCTCTATAGTAGTGCAATAATCTTGAACCCGACGTTGAACCTACGATCACCTCACCTTCAATATTCAACATGTTCAAGATTTTTTTTAAGCAAATGTGAGCTAAAGAATTTTCAAACCCCTTTGACTTACTGAGAGAAAATGCTTTTTTTTTCATTTTAGTTTCAAAACCTGAAGTGTTATTTAAACACAAGATCATTTGAAAAGATAATTAAATATTATTTTTATGGCTCTTAAAATAATCAGTATCAAAGTAATTAAAACAAAAGTGAAAAATCGTAATCATCAGATTGACATGAAAATGATTTAAGAGCAAGCTGTTTATTCTGTTATTTTCCTACAAATGTATTCGAAACAAAGTGAGTGAGTGAGTGAGTGAGTGCCGCTGCTAGCAATATTCCAGATGAGAACACCGGATATGGTCTTCACACATTGTACCGTAAGAGGCGACTAACGGGATCGGGTGGTCAGGCTCGCTGACTTGGTTGATGCATGTCATCGTCCCAATTGCGTGGATCGATGCTCATGATATTAATCAATGGATTGTCTGGTCCAGACTCGATTATTTACAGACCGCCGTCATATAGCTGGAATATTGCTGAGTGCGGCGTTAAACAACAAACCAACCAACCAACTACACACTGTACCCATGTGGG